TCTCTATATGTTTCCTTATAGAATATGCAAAAACGTAGTAAAAATAGCATACAATATGTAATTCTTATGAAATATGCAAATTTTCATTTTATAAATGAAATCAATAACTTCTATTCTCTTTTCATAGCCAATCTATGGAAGATATATTATCCAATATGCGCGAGGTTTTAAACGCGCTCCAAAATAAAATAGGGTTAAAACTTCCAATAGGCAGCCGATAAATTCCGAAACTTAATGCCAAGTCGTTTGGCGGGAAAAGTTACATATCCTTCAATTCTTTCTATGAAATTGATTATATATATACACATATATGTATATATGATAGATTGGTTATCAATAATTATGTTGCAAAATATATTCATACTATTATTTCTTTTTTCGAATATAATATTTTATTTTTGACCATATTACAATTATAAAAATAATAAGAAAGCCTGTCTCATCAGTGGTGAATTTTCTTCAGCGGTTTCGCCAGTTTAATCTAGCGCCTACGGTTCTAATATTGTTTTTACTATTTTTCATTTATTTACACTACTTTAGAGGCATTTATGGTGTCGGTATTTGAGCGAACTATGTTTATAAGCTTTGAAGACAGGATATACATATGAATATATAAAACATAAAGTAACATAAGGATGGCATTCGTGTTCCAAAAGTGGTACCTCTCCCTTTAAAAATGTATTAAAACAATGCATTGTTTTATCATCCCAGTAAAAAAAACTTGAAAGTGTTGACAAAGAATCAGCTACAACACAGATTTTGGAAAATTCAGTCAAAAGTCAACATGAATATCTGTTTACTTTAACATCAAAGCGTTATGTCTCAAAGGACACTTGTTCCTAGTAGAATAAAAGTTGCATAGCTACCTTATATACATATTTTCTACAGCCAAATTATGAGAGATTATTTTTCTCTAATTTTGTCGAACGATAATTTATTTGTGAAACTATTTGAATATTTACAAGTCAATGCATACAGTACATTTAGATAAAACACACATATTGAACAATGACAGAGAAATGTTAGCTGTTTTTTTAGGGCAATTTCAGAATATATTTGCATAATTAGTTAAACTCAATATAGAAGAATCAACTTTGATGCACTTTGATGTTGAAATAAATTCAAATATATGCTTATCAGAAGAATTACTATTCCGTAAATAAATCACATATATATAATAATTATAATATAGTTATTGTGTATATGTACGTTCGGATGATATTCGTGAGATAAAATGGGTACCTCTCCCTTTAAATAAAAACATCTATATATATATATATATCTATTTTCACTAGTTGTAATGACTTCTTTATTGACATCTTCTGATAATATTCTATGTTTTCCGGCATGATATATTCATCATTTAAATCTTTAATTTGACAATAAACGTTTTCCTTCCTGAGAGAGATTTATAATATTAAAAAATAAATAAATCTTCCAGGGCTAAGTTTGTTGTGCTAAAAGAAACACAACTATAACGTACTTATAATGGTAAATCTCGATCGTAAAACTGAACGTTGCTTGATAGCTTGCACCATCTATCGGAATATATTTTAAATTATGAATATTTATTTTTATATTTTTGAATATTGGACAAAACATAAAGGTTTTATATAGCCACTCGTAAATATGTAAATATATATATATATTTCTCTTTTTTCCAAGCCATAATTCCAAAGTCACAAGTGAAAGAAATATTTCATGATTTATGATTTTATGAACTTCTGCCTTTTATCATATCTAAAAATAAATTCCCATTTCTCCATGGAAACATATAGATAAAAAGAATGTAAAATAATAAAATCCAAACATTCAGAAGAATAATATAAAAGATATTTATGAGAAAGAAAACACAATGTTTATGTTCTACCAATAGATTTATAAAACATTCAACAACAAAGTTATTGTTATATTAAATCAATATATAAATATAAATGGAGAGTGTATTTTTACCAGAATTGAAATATTGATAGAAATGCTCTGTAACTCTATGTAAGTTGCTTACGTATCGATCTTTTAATTGATTGGTTGGACAGTTCATTCATCGACATTTACATACAACACTATTATGTAAATATGTTTATATATACTCTTATGCAATTAGTGCTATTTAAAAAAAAAATCCTCTTTCCCAAGACCTATTAATCAGATTCAATATATATATTTGGAATAATTAGAAATCAACGAGAATAGTTGATATTTATTCCGATAGATGGCGCAAGCCATCAGCAACCTTCAGTTGCACGATAAGGAGATGCCTTTTATAATATATATATGTTATATAAAAATATTATTTCATTTTAAAATTAGAATTTCTATTATAAAATACTCTGTAAAGTTGACCGCCAGATGTCGCCGCTTTTCCCTTTATATAACCTATTGTTGTTGTAATCCGTTGGCCGGCTCAAACCTTTTGTAATTATGTAAATAAGTATTTTGTTTTACTTATTCTACTCACCTTAAATCGGGCAGTAACGTTCTCAAATTATGTATTGAATACTTTATTAGCACAATTAAAGAAAATTGTGATCAAACCTTTATTTTATTATCTTTCCAACGACTGCATAACAATATAATTTGAATACTCATGTATACAAAATTCAAGCAACAGCTAATAATTCTATATCTAAATTATATTCCAAACGCAACAGAAAATCTTATTTTTTGTAATATATAGTGGCACCTCTCCCTTTAAAAATACATTGAAACAGTACATTTGGATTATCACCCCATTAGGAAACGTAAAGATGGTGATAACGAATAAGCCACAACACCAGTTTAGGCAAATTCGGATAAAAACTAACCTGTATAACATGCTTCCTGGCTTTTTTTTCCTGAATTTGACAAAACTGGTGTTTTAACTCAATCTCGTCATATAATTTCATCATATAAATCTTGGTTTTAAAAATAAAAAAGTTCTTCCCTGATTTATAATATTATAAAATATAGATATATGTGTGATCATTGAACTTTCAGAAATTTAAAAAATGTTTAATGTGTGGGGTATTTATACAGAAATGTGAGAAAATAATGTTTATACATACCTGTCAACAGTCAAATAATGGAAGGAAAATTGACAAATAGAGCTATCCCGATATCTAAGTATGATTTATATTTAAAAATTTGTTGTAATCCTCATGTATTATTTGAAAACAGCAAATTTATAAAAGAAAAAATGATCAGTTTATTTATCTTTTTTGTTTTTCAAATGGGTAAAAATAAAAATTAAAAAAAAAAAAAAACAATGGGACAACAATTCGTACAACATATAAATCAAGTTGGAAAGTAATAATCAAGTTAAAAAGCAACAATCATGCCGAATTTAATTTTTATAGAAAAAAATATATATTTTATGTATTATTTTTAATTGTTTGTTTTTAATATTGTCAACTAACCTTTCGATTTCTTCTATCTGCTTATGTTGTTGCTTATTTGTTTAATGTATTATGTTTATTCAATGCTCTTTTTCTTAATTGTTTATTTTCTTTTTGATAATTATGTTACCTACTCTACTATCAATATGAATTATTGTATATAGTTTCACGCGCACTATCCAGATCGGATATAGCGTCTCTTGTTTGCAAATGTTAATAAATAAACCAGTTTATTTTAAATTTTTCAACTATAGGCCCGGAATGAAGTCCACGTGGAGCAGCTACGCGCGGGTGAAGCGAGGAGCTTAAGAGGGTGAGATTCTACGTTAGAATTCTTCAGAAACGGTTGGAGGTCTTGGAAGCCAGTTCAGCGATTTGACCGCTGAGAACGGCGTCTTACGTCAAAACGTCGAGCTCTACCGGAGTCTCGTAGAAGACGTCAACCGCGTCTACGCTAGAGGGATCGAAGATTAGAAGACAATTGCTTCAAATCACCAATTGGAACAATTAACTATAGAAGTGAACAGCGTTCTCAGCTTAAGCCTTCTTCTAAGCGGTGAAAAGAAACATTAGTAGACGGTCAAGATTCCTGGATCTGCAGATGAAAGCTATAAAGAAGACGAGGAAATAGTGGGATTACTGAAGGAATGTTCAAGGCATATTCTTTCTGATAAGATGTTGAACAAAAAGTGGAAAAATTATTCGCAATGATGACTGATTTTTTACAATTGCTTTCAAGATTCGAACGTGGTTCGAGAATGTTCGTAAAATTGAAAATAAGGTGAAGTCAAAGGATAGAGTGGCTTATTTCCTTTTAAAATGGAATAGCGAGATGGTCACGCGCCTCGGTTCGACCCATTGGACTCTACGCTCAATGCATCGCAGCTTTGGCGATTGAAGACTTCCAACGGCAATTGAATCAGTGGTTCGTGCAAACACTCAATCACTGGGTTCCCAGAAGATATAAGAATCTAGAATTTGTATGCTGGTGGCTGGCCTGTGAAGACAGGGAATATGAAGATTAAAATAAAATAATTGCTTTCCCCACTCAGAAGAAAAGAAAAACTTTTCAGAGCAGTGGAAAGAAACATTCGTAGAGGCGGTCAGGATTCCTGGATCTGCAGAAGAAAGCTACAAAGAAGATGAATAATTGGCTATTTTATTTCTTCAAGAAGAAAAAAAAAAGAATTTTCTTGGCGGTTGAAATAGCCATGGAAGAAATACGGTAACAAAAATGCCTCCGACGCTATGACTTACGTGTTTATGGGCAGGATGCCTGGATCAGCAGAAGAAAGCTACAAAGAAGATGAACAATTGGCTACTTTATTTGCCCAAGAAGAAAAAAAAGAACTTTTCAGGGCGGTTGAAAGAACAATCGAAGATGTAAGGAGCCGACGATATCTACGGCGTTATGACATAAACGTTGATGTGGGCAGGATGACTGGATCTACAGAAGAAAGCTACGAATGAAGACAAGAGAAATGAGCTCTACCGGAGTCTCGTGGTAGACGTTAGCTCTAACAACAGCGTCTACACCTAAGAGATCAAAGATTTGAAGAGAGAATATGGATTTTTTTACGGGCTAATAACCAAAGTGTATGATTTTTCGAGCTAAAAAAAAAAAGGTTTCCTGGCGGGAATCGAACCCAGGCCTTCTGGGTGAAAGCCGAATATTCTAGCCACTGGAACACGTGGGAAGGATTTTGTGCTGAGAACATTATGTTTTCCCACGTGACGCGGCGGAGCGTGACCTTGGCTGCACGGGTGAGTCAGTTGTTGTTTTGAACTCTGTATGGATGGACATTAAAACATGGTGGCAGCGATAACTGGATAAAATACGAACCCGTATATTGCAAAATATCGATTTTTGTGTACCTTGGAAGATAATTCAACATGGCTCAGATTCAACCTCCAGAAACGTTCGACTTCTCGACTCCCAACGAATGGCCCAAATGGAGGAAGAGATTCGAACGATACCTCGTGGTCAGTGGAATGAAGAAGAAAGAGGAGGCGGACAAGATCGATTTGTTCATGTACTTGATGGGTGACCGCGCCGATGATATATTCAGGACCTTCAAGTTCGAAAAGGAGGAAGAGGCAACGAAAATTGATTCCGTCCTCAAGGCGTTCGACAGCCACTTCTGTGTCAGAAAGAATATTATCTACGAACGTGCGAAATTTAATTCAAGAATCCAAGAGGATCGGGAGCCAGTGGACGAATTCATCACTTCATTGTACAAATTGGCTGATAGTTTCGAATTTGAGGGTCTTCATGAGCAGTTGATCCGTGACCAAATAGTGGTTGGAGTGAGGGACAAAGCTTTATATGAAAGAATGCAGTTGGACAGCGAACTGACTTTGGAATAGGCGGTGAAAATGGTTCGACAGCAAGAAGCCGCTCGACAGCAGCAGGTCGATCTGCAGCGTCCCTCAACAAGCCAAAAGGTCAATCAGGTGAAGTTCAACTCGACGAAACAGTCACCGAAACAACAACAGCAGCCTTCGAGGAAGAAGGAGAAGTCAGCCAAAACTAGATCTCGATGTCCAAAATGCGGAGGTTTCACCCACAGGGAAGGACAGGCTTGCCGTGCTGAAGGACAAAGATGTAACCTATGTTCAAAAACTGGCCATTTTGCAAATTGCTGCCCAGATAAGCAGGCGAAGACTGCGGAAGTCAAAGCTGTTTCTGAACTTGATGAAGAAATTGATTTTCTCCTGGAGGGCTCAGCTGTGGAGGATTAATCTAATCTCGATGATGATGAAGGCGAGTGCAGGAGGCGATGGACAGCAGAAATAAATCCAAGTGAACGGGAAACAGGTGAAGTTCAAGCTCGACTCCCAGGCGGATGTTACATGTGTTCCTCTGTGTCTCTTCAAGAAGATAATGGGACAGCAACGACTAGTGGAAAGTGATATCAACATTAGAGCTGCTGAATTATCCGAACTTCAGACTGTGGGTATGTTTATATCAACGCTGCGAAATGGCAATTATGAAATCAAGGAGAAGATTTATGTCATTCGTCGTTTGAGTGAACCTCTTCTGAGTCGCCGGGCATGTGAGCTCTTGAACCTGGCGAGGCGGATTGAAGTGGTTGCGACGAGAATTAACCCGATCAAGGAATTCCCTGAAGTATTTGAAGGACTGGGACAGATCGGAAACCCTTACGAAATCAAATTGAAACCTGGAACAAAACCATATGCTGTGCATACTCCTCGACGGGTACCAATACCTTTGATGGAAAAGCTCAAAACATTATTGGAAGAGCTCGAGAAGGCGGGAATCATAAAACAAGTTAACGTTGCGACTGAAAGGTGTGCACCGACTATGATTGCTGGTAAACCGAATGGCGACATACGACTCTGTGTGGATCTCTCAAGGCTGAACGAACATGTACAGCGCGAAGTGCATCCCATGCCAGTGGTGGAGCACATGCTGGGGCAACTGGGGGAAGCAAGATTCTTTTCGAAACTGGACGCGAACAGTGGCTTTCACCAGATTCCATATTAATACTTCCTTTGTTATCAACTGTAATATTTTACTGAGAAAGAGAAGTATTAAAATCAACATTATGATTTATTCTGTTAAATTCAATATTTTTTGGTAGATACGAATTTAAGGTTATAATCCGAGATAAAAGTATTTTATTAAATATTAACTCTAAATGCAGTTTTAATAACTATTATTTTTCCCATAGTTGATATTTAAAATTATATTACTATAGTTTATTAGCTTCAAATATAGCCAATCTCTTTGAAAGATAAAGAATTGATCTAAAATTTCGGCCAGACCTGATAAGATCTAATAATATGTGGACGAAGAAGACAGTGGAATACAAACAGAACAACTGATGCATGTCACTACAAAATCTCCTTTAACCAGGACTATTTAAATTTGAAACCTGTTTGTTTATCAATTCAATAGAGATACACCAATATGAGATACACCATATAATATATATATGTGATGATTTAAGACCATGGAATTGTTGTAAATAGTCTAAATATCCACTACCACATGTTCCACCCCATGACTGTATATAACTTCTTATGTACTGCACATAGAAAACCTCAACTAACATCAATCTGTACCGCGTAAGAATCTAATAAAGTATTGCAACTGTACAGATAGAAGGAATGGAGAGAGACAGGAGAAAGTTAAGGTTAAAACAAATCAGGTTTAGGACAGAAGTCGAAGCAAGGCCTAGCAAAAGAGGCTTAAAACCAGCCCAACTATAAATAATTTACAAGTCAATACTTCCTGACAGGACAGGGCGTATCTGATATCGAGGAAACCATAAAATCTAAGAGTGACGCCCAATTTCCGGGCCAAGACAGGACGTATTTTCAATCAAAGAAAGCCGCAAGGCCAATTACAGAAGACATCACCTAAGTAGGTCAACCAATAGCCTACGGCCACGTGAAAAAGTCCCACCAATTAGGAAAGAATCACCTAAATAGGTCAGCCAATCAGAAAGAAGCAAGGTCGTGGTGTTAAATCGAAGACCTAGAATAGGCAGTCTTCGCTTGGAACTCAACGGTAACACTTGCTCTAAAATCTCTCTCTCCTCATCCCATTCCTTCTTGACGTCAGACGCTTTTAGTGGAATCTCTGTTTGTTTATTTCACCTTTGGCCCAGCTGTGTCGCCTTCCACCACGACTGCACGGTAGAGTTGACATCGAGGTTCGTCTAGCATCAGGTAACACTGGTCCCAGAGGTCCCAAGATATCACAGACTCCCCCGTAACGAAGAGTCGACAGGATAGTGGACGCCAAGGTACAAGTAAGCAAGTAGACCACTGTCTGTACAGAAAGATGGAACAGGGAAGAGAGGAGGAGCCAAAGGAACCAATGGAGTCCGATCCCGACTCCGAAAGTGGCGAAAACACTTTTCCAAAGAAAGAAAACGAAAACACTCTCGGTAAGACGCAGGAAATTGTCCCCGGCCAGGAAGACGTCACACCCCCGCCGCCGGTGTCAGATGTCCGAGGGAGGTTGACGACGACGCTACATCAGCTTTCTGCCGTGACCGGACATCGCGAGAGGTGGAATCGCTACGATGGGTCGTACGAGGCGCAGAGCTTCTTCACCAACTACGACGCCCAAGCAGATCGGGCCCAACTACAATACTCTACAAGACTGAAAAAGCCACCAGACCTCCTGCAAGCGCCCCTCCGAGTTACCAACACGCGAACGTATGTTACCTGCTCCCCCGACCATCTCTAAACCACGAGCCCAGCGCAAACAATGAACTCTGACCTTCCCAAGAATCCGCCAACCACGACACAAGACCAGGACTGTCCCGACATACAAGACCACACAACAGTAGGTTCCTACTTCTATAATTTTTATTGAACAATGTCTCGTTCGAGCTGAACAGTCCAATAATGTAAACCTACTCTACTACTTTATACAGGAGCATCTATCGCTATAATTAGGCAGAATACTTTTAAAATAATAGAAATCAGTTTGTAAAAGAAAAATACCTGTCCATCCATTTAACTTAACTATTAATGCCATAGCTAACAATATTTTCACCATAGATTATATCTTTTTGATCTTAAAAAATAGGTAATATAACGCAGAATCTAAAATTCCATATAATCGATACACCCATGCCTTTTGGCATTTTATTCCTTAATTCCATAAAACGATTTCTACTAATTATAAACTGTTCTCAGCTACTCCTGTATCAAGATAATGTACCTCTACCAACTACCTTGTACAAATTCACCTCGTGCAAGCAACACGTGTCCCATGGACAGGTTAATACAACTGTCCCATTTTCTAAATTTTCCCCTCCTGGAACGAGTTGCTCACACGTGGTGAACTCCAACACTCTTATTTAACCTCATTATAATGTTCCTAATCCCATTTTCAACGCCCCTATGTCCTTTTCTTTCATAGCTTTAGACAGAAATAACCTAAGTCACAGCCTTCCAAAACTATTCCAATCGTTAAAGTCCAACATAGCTACACTCCCTCGTACCTTCCTTTTACACGCATAGTTAAATATCGACAAATCACTCTCAACAAAATAAACAACACCCTCTCACATCACTTTTTCCAATTGACGACAATTTTCAATGCGCGACTTCACACTCAAATCTAATTTCGAGCCACACAAGCTTCATCACGTCGCCCTACTAAACACACACAATCTTTTTTTTTTTTTCTCACATTAAACGTGTCATATCCACTAACAATATAAAAATTATCGATATGTTCGTACAACCAACAACCATGACTTTAGTAAATTTGTTATTCTTAGTGTAACAGGTTAGATTTTGTACAAAACAGAGACTTCACGCGACACCTTTTCATTTACAATTTTTTCGCTTCGTGTCACAGCGCCACACCACTAAACTCTTTCAATTTTCAGGCCAAAGACGCCTTCACCACGCCTGTGACACATTTATTTAACCACACATTGTCCACGTCGATAGTCGCAATTTCATTCAATTCTAACCCGATATCCATGAATAACATTTTTACTAAGTCCGCAAAAAACCATTCGATTTAATATTCACAGATACAATATCCGAATTTTCGAAATACAAACACAAATCTAACAAATGCTTGAACACACGGAATAACTCAACCTCTGTATCTCCCTATGTCAATCCCATAACGCTTGTCACCAAACGTGACAAATCAAAACGCTTTTGTGTTTACAATTTTAGAAATAATATCTCCGAAC